GCGCGCTTGTGTTTGCCCCCCCCCCCGCGGCCCCCCAAAAGCCTTGCACCAAAGGTCACTCTTACCCAGGGTCACTCTTACGCGTAGCCGATCGAGGAAGCGTGAGGCTCGAATGAGCCGGACCTCGGGTTCGCCGACTTTTTCTTTGGCGAGCGCGTCCTGGGTTTGGACCTGTCCTGTTTTCGTGGGGCGTCTGCAGCGGGAGCCCGCGCCGAGTTTCAGATCGGGTCTCGTCGTTTTTGTGATGGCCCCCGTCGGGCCAACCCGAGTCCCCCTTACTCCAAATCCCTTATTAATCGACCCCCCCCTAAAAAACCAGACCCCCTCCATATGCGACCTAATATTCCGGACCCCCTCTTCGATGGGGCGCCTTAATAAACCAGACCCCCTCAGCTCCAATCCAAAGAAAGCGACCTAATAAACCGGACCCCCTTAATGACCAAAAAGGCGCCTTAAAAAACCGGACCCAGGGGACGATTAATAAGGGATTTGGAATACCCGAGTCTTACGCCTTCCCGAAAAGAATGTTCTAAGAGCCTTTTGTGGTCTGCGCGAGACGTTCTCAGAACATTTCTGGCCGGGACTGCCTTGTTCTGGCACACCGTGCTCATGTCCTAAGAACGTTTTGTGGCAGGCCTCTTAGGAGTGCTGGGACGGTCGGTCCCCGCTCAACAGAAGCCCTCCGGCCTTCCGACGAGTTTTTTGTGGCGTCTCCAGAGAGGGCTCGAACATATTTCTCTTCGGGGGCATCGAACGGTATAAAACAAACGTTTCCGCCGCCGGGGACGCTTGCCCCCGGGGCGGCTGGGAAGTTTATACCCCTGCAGAGGCACGTCGGGGTGCAGGCTTTCCAGCCGCCTCGGGGCAGGCGTCCCCGGCGGCGGAAGCGTCTGTGTCACATGCCGTTCTCTTGGCATCGCTCGGACGTGCGCACTTTTCCTTCGGCGAGGACCATCGAGGAGCAGCCCTGATCATCTGGCGAACAAGCCACGCACGAAACCGATAACAAAAAACACAGGGAACGGACGCCCGAGCGATGGCGAGCTCTTTTCGCCCGCGCGTGCTCAGAGAAGGCGCGAGGGGCTCCGAGCAGCCGCGCCGCCCTCTGAGAGGGCCTGCTGCCCCCCTCGCGGCTCCCCCCTCGGTGCGCCGCCGAGCGTGGCCTTCTGGGCCGCGGCGCACCGAGTCTCCGGTGGCCGCTCGGGAGGGCCCGGGCGGCCCCAGAGCGGCCTCGGCGAGGCGCCTCCGTCGGAAGGCACCCCGAGGCTTGCAAGGCCGCCGAGAAGCGACGAAGACGACTCTCAGAGCGTGAATTACCTACCCCGCTTTCGCTTCCAGGCAGAACCAAGTCATACCACGCGCCTCCTCGTCAAGCGGCCTGACCAGTACAGGCCGTAGTTTGGCATCGTTTGGTATCTCTTGGAAGCGAGGGTGGTCAAAAGCGAGGTAGGTTTGTTTGCCCCCTAACGACAGAAAACCGCGAGCCTCGAACCCGAAACTCCCACATTCCCCCCGGGCTCGCCGCCGAGCATCCCTGATGGGCACGGATCTGTTGTTGTTTGTGTTTCTGTTTCTGGCTCCGGCAAGTTTACTTGCACGGACGGTGGGGGGCTGAACCTGAAGCAGGCCGCAAACGACGTCCACGCGCGGAACTCGCGCACGCCGCAGGGCACCTGCACGCTGGTGTTCGCTTGAAGTGGGGCGAGGACGGTCAGGAGGAAAAAAACACAGACACAATTAAGCGTCGATTCCCCAGATTATGCGGGAAAATATGGGCAGTGGGGGGGAAGACGAGAACCCAGAAAATATGGGAAAATGTGGGGAATCTCTTTATTTTTGTGTGTTTATTTGTATGTCCCAGGGCCCCTTCAGAAGGGGGGGGGCCCACGCCATGCAAAGGTAAGCTCGCCCGAATCTGACAAAAGCAGGCCCGCGGGCGGGATCCCCAATTGGAGCGCGCGCGGCTCCGCCGGCCCCCTCGCTGCGCCCCGCCGCGCCCCGCTGCGCCTCGCTGCGCCTCGCCCCTGACCTTCCAGAGAGCTATTTTTGAGCACGGGAGGCCTAGAAAGCCAACAAAAACAAAGCGAAACAGCCTAAAACCAGGACGTAGAATAGCTCTGGGATAGGTTTTTAGGTCGCGTGCTATTTTTTAGCCCTCCTGGAAGGTTAAGGTCACCATTAGCCAAAAAAACAAAACGAAGCAGCCTAAAACCAAGACATAGAACAGCTCTGGGATAGGTTTTTAGGTCGCGTGCTATCTTTTGGCCCTCCTGGAAGGTCAGGGGCCGCGCCATCGCCCCCCGGCAGCAGGCCGTCGCCGGCCGCCCGCGCCGCGGCGGCGGCCGCCCCCGCCCGGCCCGCGCCGGCGGCCCCGCCGGCCACGGAGGAGCTCGCGCGGGTCCTCCCCGAGCGCGCGCTGCACTGCTCTCAGGAGGGGGAAAAGCACACAGACACAATGAGTCGTCGATTCCCAGGAAAATGTTGGGAACATATGGGAATTGGGCGGGAAGACGAGGCCCCAGAAGGTATGGGAAAATAGGGGGAATCCTTTGATATCGGGTCGGACGAAAGGGGGGGGTTGGGAAAGGAGGGGGTACGAAATCTGCTGCATGCAGCTGGTTTCGGCCCCAGCGAGGGGCCCATTCCTCGATACATGGCCGCCTCCGGCGCCGGGAGGCGCCGGGAAAGTCAGCTACGCGAGCTGATTCTCAACCCCCCCCTCTGCTGTCCCCCCCTTTCGCCCGACCCGACACTCTTAAGTCGGGCCCGATAGGAGGGGGAAAAACACACAGACACAATGAATCGTCGATTCCCAAGAAAATATAGGAAATATGGGAATTGGGCGGGAAGACGAAACCCCAGAAGATATGGGAAAATATGGGGAATCCTTTGATATCGGGTCGGGCGAAAGGGGGGGGTTGGGAAAGGGGGGGGTACGAAATCTGCTGCATGCAGCTGGTTTCGGCCCCAGCGAGGGGCCCATTCCTCGATGCATGGCCGCCTCCGGCGCCGGGAGGCGCCGGGAAAGTCAGCTACGCGAGCTGATTCTCAAACCCCCCCTTTGCTATCCCCCCCTTTCGCCCGACCCGATACTCTTCATTCGGGCCCGATAGGAGGGGGAAAAACACACAGACACAATGAATCGTCGATTCCCAGGAAAATATGGGAGAATATGGGAAGTGGGCGGGAAGACGAATAAACCCAAGACAATATGGGAAAATATGGGGAATCCTTTTAGTTGTGTGTATTTATTTGTGTGCTCCAGGGCCCCTTCATACTCTGAAGTCGGGCCTGTCCCTCTACAGGATCGGAGGTGGATGGACCTCCTATACCCTGACGCGTCGATTGGCGACTTGGCCGTTGTCGGTTCGCGGGGGGGCGTCGCGGCCGTCATTTTGGAGGGTCCAGGTCCGCCGGTTTCGGTCCGAGGCCCTTTTCAATAAAGGGAGGTTTATTAAAGGGAGGTTTGTCCACCGCCGACAGGAGGTATATTCAAAAATATTCAAAGACTAGTCAGGGGAAGATTGTTGGATCATTCCTTGACCATTTTGGAGTATTTCTGGGGTATCTTAATTTTTTCGTTCAAAATCCGCCTGTAGGGGGACGTGCCCGACCTAACACTACTCTCTAGTCCTCCTAGATGGGGTCCGAGCAGATGGGGTCGGAGGATCGCGCCGAGTCGCCGATGCTTCGACGATGCGGCTCGATGTGGAGCCCGTGTTTCCCCACGCCGGCGTCGCCGACGCATCGCCGATGCATCGCCGACGTCGCCGATGCATCGCCGATACATCGGCGATGCATTGGCGATGCGGCGCGATCCTTCGACCCCATCTGCATGGACCCCATCCAGGAGGCCTCTATACTGGCAAAGTGCCTACTCTCAAGCACTGGCGAAGCGCCCTGGCTTACCTATAGGCCCAAGAACGAATGTTCGAAGAGCCTTTGTGTAGTCTGAGCGAAAGGTTCTAAGAGCATTTTTGGCCGAGGCCTGTTCTGTTTTGACACGCCTGGCGTATGTTCTAAGAACTTGTTTGGTTCTTAGGACGTTTTTGGTTTCTAAGAACACGTCGTGTCGCAACTGTTCGAAACATACATTTTCGCTTCGATGTAATCTATCGTAAGTCCCCCGCGGCGGATTGACGGCATCTGCGAGTAGTACCTCTGCCAGTTGTGGGACGCGCACGGCAGGAGGAGGCAGGAGGCAGAGAGAGGCAAGAAGGAGGCAGGAGGAGGAGGAGGAGGAGGAGGAGGAGGGAGGTAGAGGCGGGTTCTCCCCAGGCCTTCTAGATGGGGTCGGAGCAGACGGGGTCGGAGGGTCGCGCCGCATCGCCGAAGCATCGCCGATGCGGCTCGATGTGAGCCCGAGTTGCTTCTCGTCGATGTCGCCGATGCACCGCCGACGTCGACGATGCATCGCCGCGCGATCCTCCGACCCCATCTGCTCCGACCGCATCTAGGAGGCTCCGACTCCTATTCAATCGAAAAAACGGCAGGAGGAGGCAGGAGGCAGGAAGAGGCAGGAGGAGGCAGGGGGAGGAGGAGGCTGAGGAGGAGGAGGAGGAGGAGGAGGAGGAAGGAGGAGGAGGAGGAGGAGGAGGAGGAGGAGGAGGAGGAGTTGGAGGAGGAGGAGGATGAGGAGGAGGAGGAGGTAGAGAAAGAAACGGCGGCACTATTCTTTGGGAGCTCCGCGCAGATTTCTTGGATCGGCGCTGGATCCCCCTCCCCGGCGCGTGGAGCGCGCAGGTGCCGCGACAACTTCTGTTTACGCAGTTGTTTCTTCCTCCATTCTCGGCGTTGGAGGCTCGAGGTTTTCGTGCGTTTTGTCGGTTCTCGGCGGTCCTTCAGCCTCGGGGTAAGGGGCGCGCGTCCACTTCGTCGGCGCAGGGTTTTCCGCGATACTCATTGTTTGCACGTGCCGTTGGTGTGGACATCAGACCAAGTGCGAATGACGCGAGAAACAATTCCGCCCTCCCGATTGCCTTCGCGACGTCAGCGATCAGATGTTCTACGTCACACCGTGCCATGTCCGGCTGCTGTAACTGGCATCCTGGCTTGGATGAATAGCCGAGACGGCTCGCCGAGGGGACGAGGACCACCGCTGAGCAGGTCAAAAGAGCCACCCACTTGCAAGCAGAAGTAACTGGGAAGGTGAAAAGAGCGGACCGCGTTGTTCCTGGCGCACAGGCCAAGCAGGTCATGGGAGCTTTCAGTCGGAAGGTGCCCGCGTTCGTCCAGGGTGTTGGCGTGGTCAGCATGAGCGAGATGAGAAGTGCTGTTCGCGATTGCGCGACCGAGGTTGTCGATGCTTTCGTCGCCTCCACGGTGTCGCCCGCCGCTCCCGCGACGGATGCCAAGTCGTGTGTCAGTCACCTTCGGCGCGCGGGCGCGCGCGCTCCAACGGCCCGCGCGCATGGGCGACGTCGAACGAAGGATGCGTGTCGCATTGCCACGGAGCGGAGCGGACAAAAAACGCTGAAAATATATGTGAGGTCCTTGGTTTCTCTCCTGAGCGGGTCAATCGCGATTGCAAGACATGCTTGGGGATCGGCGGCCACTGCGTTTCAGAGACCACCTCGAAGAAAGTCTACCCTCATCGCACTGTTAGCAAGAGGGGCCCACATCTTCGGTTGTCAGCAGTCACGGCCCCTTCTCATTGTCATTGCAGGCACAGGCTGCGCCCCGATGAGTAAAGGTTTCGGCGGGTGGTGACGCGCATCTCCAGCAGGAGAGCGAAGTGGAGTTTCGCCGCTGCGCGCGCTGGGGTTCGCATGTCCTTCGAATGGACCAGTTCAGCCGCCGTCTTGATCATCTGTCGGATGCGATTCGCCCGCTGCGCGCGGCGCGCACCGCTCGCGCCCCGACCGCAGCGCAGAATGAGAATTCGAATCCTCGGGTGCTCATTATTCCAGCGTGTTCCCGCGACGCCGGCGTGCATCGCGGCCGGGAAGAGCCGCCCTCAAACGCCGAATAGGCTGGGGTTGTCGTTGCCAAGGCACCGGGCGCAGTGCCGAAGTTCCGTCAGATTTTTAGTATGATAACAATTTCCCCATGAGCATTGTGCAGGGCCATGCGCGGGAGACAACGCGCGCTTTTGCGCGGTGCTGTTGCGCGCGCCCGTGGCGTCGACCAGGCATGCGCGAGTGGTGCGTTGGCTGGTCTGCACAAGCCCCCTTGCGCGCCTTGTGCGCGGTCGCTCTTCGCTGAGTTTTCCTCCTTGTCTTAAGTTGTGGTTTCGCTGGGACTTAATGGCTTCGAAATTCGCCCCGATTCCTCGGGGTCGAGGCGGTTGAAAATTCATTGCTGGGGCAACTTGCAGGGCAGCGGCAACCGCGCGACCGCGGTTGGCGACGGCGATGGAGCCATCACTTGCGCGATTCGCGCAGCCGGGCCCGCCCTCGCCAAGGTGGGGCGCTATCCTGGTGGATGCGTGTTCCCTTAATGATCTGCAAGGCAATTGACATATAGGCATCAATCTCCGCGCTGCTGCAGGGGCTATCATTTCGACCGGGCCGCCGATGCCATGGGGGCCAGTTAGCCGGAGCATCCCCTGACAAGGGTGTTGCCTCCTTCTTCGCGCGCAAGTCCGGGCGCCGCGCCGCCCTGCGGCGCGCCCCCGCCGGCTGGAGCGTCGGCTCAACGACCGCGAGTTCTATTGCTAGCCCCTGCATCTTTTCGCGCGAGTGGCCGCCGAGGACTTGTTGAGGCCGCTGCGAGGACTTGCAGACGCCAGGGGCCCAGAACCAAAGATCTGGCCGGCGCCGCCGTCGACGTCGCGCGCGATGAGATCCATGGCCGCTACGACGACACTGCGGAGGAGCGGGCTCGTTCGTCTATTGTCGAGCGCGACGGGCCCGAGGGCGACCCCTGGCGGTGGTTTCTAATTTCTGACCCGCCCGCGAGATCATGCTAAGTCGGGGCGAGGGCGAGCGATCCCGCGCCGGCGACGTCCACGAGGACATCGACGCCTCGATCTCCGGCGCCACTCGCGGGTTCGCTAAAAGCAGATGGAAAGATCGAGAAGGAGATGCGTGCGATGAGGCCCCCCCTCAGGCAAGTTCTGGGTCGATGCAGGGGCCGCGAACTGCTGCGCTGCTGCCGCGCCCGCGGCGACGAGACGCGCGGGCCTGCGGGCTACGCGAGGATTGTCCAGACAGTCGAGGAAGGGCTCGTCGCCACTCGCTCGAAGTTCGCGCCGCCGGCGCCGCCGCCCGCGGCTGCTTCCAGCTCGGCCGGCTTCGAGGGCGAGTCCAGTCCGCCTATCGGCCTATCAGAAGCCGGGCGCGGCCCGGCATTGCAGCGGGCTTCCGGACTTGATGCCGAGCCGGGCGCGAGCGCGCGCGGGGCTCCTCCAGCGCCGCCGCCGTCTCTGGCGCCGACTTCACCGACTCCTCCGGCACCGCCGTCGACGGAGCCTCTGCCTCCGCCGACGCCGCTCGCGCGCGATGTCCGGTCCGAGATCGAGAGAGCGCGCGAGCAGAATCTGCGCGATGGCCTGGCCGGAGATGCCGTCGTGGACTTCGAGTCGATGGGGGCCAGCGTCGTCATGCTTAACTAACCCCTTGTGCGACGCCTGGAAAGGGAGCTTCATCGCGCGCATTTGCCCAAATATGTTTGCGGGGAAGGGCGCGGCGCCCCGCGTCGACGGCATGGGCGCGAGGAATACGGTTCGCGCGAGTTGAAAATTCAGTTCTTATGACGCGAAGGAAAAGTTTCGCGTCGTGCGTCGATTGAAAATTGGAAGAGAACGCATGATCAGCGGCGCGTGGGAACGGATCGAGGATCGCTCGAAGATGATGCTGCCGTCGACGCGAGCGTCTACGACAGTCTGCGCGTTCTCTCATCCGCATCGCATTGGCCCTGGTGGGATTGCCTGTCCGTGCAATCTGTCGAACTTTGATGAGCGCGGCACGACTGCGACGGGCCGCTGAAAGCGCAAATGGAATCTTGCAGAACTCGACGAGATCGACCGAGGAGATCGACGAGCAGGACGATTTCCTGATTTGCCTTGCAGCTGTCGGGGGGGGGGGGGGGGGGGGCGGGCTTCAATGTTCCGTCCTCGCGGGCAAGAGCGCGGGCGGGATTTTGGCGTGCATCCTCGGGGTCGCGTTCGTGGGTCCTGCGGCGGGGCTCGGCGCGGACTTCGAGGTCCGCCCGGCGCGGGCGCCATCCTGATTCCATCATCGCCAAAGCCACCGCCGACCGCGAGCCCGACGTCTGCGCGCGCTCCTACGGGGTTAAAACAAAGTGATAGGTCCGTCGCTGTTATGTATGCCTGGATGCAGATGCACGTGTTCAAACCTGCACGATGCGCATGTTCGGGGCGCAGCCGTCGCGAGCCTCGAGTTCCCGGACTTCCATCGAGACCTAGGCCAGCGCATCTGTCTCGGCAGGCCTGTGGGCGCAGCCTTCCGGCAGAGGGATCTGCCGAGCAGAGACCTGGGGCGCTCGATTCTATTTCTTGCCCAGCAGATGCAGCCGCGACCCTTGCCGAGCACGCGCGGCGCGAGGGGCGGGCAAGCCTGGGTGGGCCCCGATCGCCAGATGGGCCTCAAACAGAAGGCGCAGGCTTGAAAGCTGCGTTAAACGTTCCACTGCGGGTGCGAATCGCAAGTCGCCGAATGCGCTGTGAATTCGGTCATGGCTCGAATAGTGCACCTCCTTGAGCCTGCGGCGTTAGCCGCGCGTGGCGACAGAATGCGCTGGTGCTGTAAGCTATCGCTGCGAGCGGCGCGAACCTTTGTCTCATACTCACAAGGTTGCAATGCCTGAGGAGTTATGCGCTGATTGCTGGGAAATCAAAGGCAACATTGGCGAGCGATGCATTATCCTCAGCGTCGCAAGTCAGGGTGCAACCCTCCTGCGCGTTACATTCGTGAAACGAGGAGAACGAGGAAGTGACGCGCCATCCTGTAGAGCATGCCTCGAGGTATTTCGGGGGCGCCGGCTCGCCTGAGCTGGCTCGCCCAAGCAGGTTGTGATACAGAGGTTTCGTAAACGCGTCGTTTTTCCCTACCTAGGCTCTGCCTAGAAGGGTTCTTACTCTCTTAGCTTAAGGGGGCCGGGCAGTGCTGCGCGCCCAGGGCGGTTCCCCCGGTCCCCGCCCCGCGGTTCCCCCCAGTCCTCTAGGAGCTTTAGCTTTAGCTTTAGATTTAGCTATAGCTTAGCTTTAGCTTAGCTGTAGCTTAGCTTTAGCTTAGCTGTAGCGTTTCGCTTAGCTTTTCCCAACCATCCTGTGGTGTTGGGTCCTCGTTTTGAAGAGACGGTGCCCGCGTCCTCTCCTCTCCTCCTCTTCCCCCTCCTCCCTCCTCCCCCTCCTTGCCTCTGCTCTCGGCACACCTCTCACGCGTTTCGTAGCCCCATAGGGAGCTCCACCGAAGGCCCCAGTGGGGGTGTTCGCATGCGGTTCCCCCACCCAGGGCAGCGTTTCGTGGCCCCATAGGGAGCTCCACCGAAGGCCCCAGTGGGGGTGTCGCATGCGGTTCCCCCACCCAGGGCAGCGTTTCGTGGCCCCATAGGGAGCTCCACCGAAGGCCCCAGTGGGGGTGTTCGCATGCGGTTCCCCCACCCAGGGCAGCGTTTCGTGGCCCCATAGGGAGCTCCACCGAAGGCCCCAGTGGGGGTGTTCGCATGCGGTTCCCCCACCCAGGGCAGCGTTTCGTGGCCCCATAGGGAGCTCCACCGAAGGCCCCAGTGGGGGTGTTCGCATGCGGTTCCCCCACCCAGGGCAGCGTTTCGTGGCCCCATAGGGAGCTCCACCGAAGGCCCCAGTGGGGGTGTTCGCATGCGGTTCCCCCACCCAGGGCAGCGTTTCGTAGCCCCATAGGGAGCTCCACCGAAGGCCCCAGTGGGGGTGTTCGCATGCGGTTCCCCCACCCAGGGCAGCGTTTCGTGGCCCCATAGGGAGCTCCACCGAAGGCCCCAGTGGGGGTGTTCGCATGCGGTTCCCCCACCCAGGGCAGCGTTTCGTAGCCCCATAGGGAGCTCCACCGAAGGCCCCAGTGGGGGTGTTCGCATGCGGTACCCAGGGCAGCGTTTCGTGGCCCCATGGGGAGCTTCGCAGTTCGCGCGTTCCCCCACCCAGGGCAGCGTTTCGTGGCCCATAGGGAGCTCCACCGAAGGCCCCAGTGGGGGTGTTCGCATGCGGTTCCCCCACCCAGGGCAGCGTTTCGTAGCCCCATAGGGAGCTCCACCGAAGGCCCCAGTGGGGGTGTTCGCATGCGGTTCCCCCACCCAGGGCAGCGTTTCGTGGCCCCATAGGGAGCTCCACCGAAGGCCCCAGTGGGGGTGTTCGCATGCGGTTCCCCCACCCAGGGCAGCGTTTCGTGGCCCCATAGGGAGCTCCACCGAAGGCCCCAGTGGGGGTGTTCGCATGCGGTTCCCCCACCCAGGGCAGCGTTTCGTGGCCCCATGGGGAGCTCCACCGAAAGCCCCCGTGGCGCAGTTCGCATGCGCTTCCCCCACCCAGGGCAGCGTTTCGTGGCACCATAGGGAGCTCCACCGAAGGCCCCAGTGGCGCAGTTCGCATGCGGTTCCCCCACCCAGGGCAGCGTTTCGTAGCCCCATAGGGAGCTCCACCGAAGGCCCGCCCCGGTGGCGCAGTCCGCATGCGGTTCCCCCTATCCAAGGCAGCGCTTCGTGGCCCCATATGGAGCCCCACCGAAAGCGGCACCCACAACGCGTTACCAACAATTGCTTATGGTTGGGTCTTTCGCCAGGATAATTTTCGCTTAGCGTTTAGCTTAGCTTTAGCTTAGCTTTAGCTTAGCTGTAGCTTAGCTTTAGCTTAGCTTTAGCTTTAGCTTAGTTTTAGCTTTAGCTTAGCTTTAGCTTAGCTTTAGCTTAGCTGTAGCTTAGCTTTAGCTTAGCTCAGCTTAGCTTAGCTTTAGCTTAGCTTTAGCTTAGCTTTAGCTTAGTTTTAGCTTAGCTTTAGCTTAGCTTTAGCTTAGTTTCATAGCTTAGCTTTAGCTTAGCTGTAGGCTTAGCTTTAGCTTAGCTTTAGCTTAGCTTTAGCTTAGCTGTAGCTTATTGTTAGCTTAGCGTTACTGTTACTACTAATGCTGCTTTCCTAGGGGTTCCAACTCCTAGGTGGGGTCGCACTGGGATACTTTTCCAGTTGTTTAAATGGGGGGGGGGGGGGGGGGGGCGACGTCCGCGACGCTGGAGTCGACGACGCCACGATCGAGATGTCCAGTGTAGGAGGCTTCTCTCCATCTCAGTGGGCACTGGGGCGATTGCCTCGGGCTCGAGAGGGCCAGTCTGACGAGGGGGATCGTTTCAGTTTGGTGTCGTTGCGAACGCAGCGGAGGGTGTGTCGGATGAGTTGCCCCGACAGGCGCCTGCGCGCGCCGCCGCTAGACGTCGGAAGCAGGACTGCGCGAGCTATGCTTCGCAAGGCCGCTAGCCGGCGAGCGTCGGGTCGGACATGTTAGTTTGTGTCCGCAAGCGGCCTGCAGAAGGGGAAGTTGCCGCCGCGTGGAGCACGGGCTCTCGCGTCGTCGGGATCGACGGCAAGAATGCATGGGCGATCGCAGAAGTTGCGCCTGCTTGTGTCGCCGTAGAGCGACGCCGCTCATGCAAGGGAGTAGAAACATTGGCCTTCCTTGCCTTGCGAGACATCGCGATGGGGGCGCGGAGAGATGCGCACCCCGCGAAGGTCAGCAACAGTTCTTTGTGGACGAACGTCGCGATGTACCAGAGCCAAGGGCGGCGCGACCAGCTCATCCCGTGCGGGTGGCCCCAATTCCTGAAGAAGGGCCGTTGCGACTCGTACTTAATGGCCCTCGATTTGTGCGCGCAGGCATGGGACATGAGGATGCGCGCGAAGGTGCGGGCGTTCGGCGGATCGAAGGCGAGGCCCGAGCTTCTGGGCATGCGCCCGCAGGTGTAGCGTCGCGCCCCTCTCGCCCGTCGGTGCGGCGCTTATTGCTAGACGACGCGCCGCGCGACGTGCGCAGTTGCGGTGAGGGGCGACGCGCCGAAGACTTGAAGAAGAAGGATCAGCTTGGCCTGCGCCCGAGCGCGAAGCATCCAGCTTGTCTCTGCCGAACGATGGGCACCCGAGCCCGCGTCGGAGCCCGCGCCCTGGCTGGCGACGACTCTGCGCGGTGTCTGGAATAGCTCAGGGACCACCAGCGCAGGTTTATACATAACTCCAGAGAAGCACTTCATTTACAGGAAGTCCTGACAGTCGATTCGCTTCCGGGATTCTTTTCACGAGGGCCCCGTCCAAGGAGAAATCGAAGAGCACCCTGCTTCGAGTCTATCGTCGCGAATATGAGGAAGTTCGAAGATGGGGGATCTTTGCGCGACGAGACTCACGTGGACAATGCCGCATCTTACATGTTGCCACGCCGTTAGGTGCTGAGCGAGCGCAACATATCCTTCATAATGGATGCCGTACTGTGCCAACCCAATGGATTGAGGTTAGCCAGAACGAACACTTTCGCAGGCCTGATGGGCCGAATCTTGCAGCGCAGCGCAGCTGCTGACCTGTTCTACGCGCGGATTTGGGGGAATTGCTCGGTGCTCGCACTGACTCGCCAACCAACGGAATTAAAGGCCTGCGATGGATCGCGCCATGGGCAGCTGGTACAGTGAAGGCTTTGCAGCGTGCAGATATTACTTCAGCATACATCCAGGGAGAAACTCAGACAGGTGGGTGCCATTGAAACCCTCGCCCGATGGTGTCGAGAGGGAGTCGCAGGACGGACCTCTTATTGCTTGCGCGCCGCCTGTTTGTGGGGTCCGCGACGCGGGCAGAGGTTTGTGGAAGAAGATACGCACGCGCTTCGAAGCCCATGGTCTGAGTGCGAGTCGTATTATTCCAGTTTTATTTCGCATCTCCAATGAGGAGGACGAAATCCAATCCATGTTTGGAAGACATGCCGATGATATCTGGCATATCTCGACAGGGCGCCACCTATAGTTGTCGGTATATTCGCTTAGTGCGACACTTGCGAGATCAAGTCTGGAAGCACCCGTCAGTGTGGGTTGGAGCAACGAAGGAGAAGCATATCAGCCTAGATTTAACATTGGAGCCTTATCGTGGATATCCCGCCAGTGTAAGCTTGAGTTGATTCACCGAAGTAGCCGCCTTCACAATAGTGTGAACCAAGCGAGGGCTTCACTTTTCAAGGACGCCAGCAGGGTACCTGAACACGCAGTCCAGGCTGCGGATAAGGGATTCGTATGTGAAGGACTTGCTAGTAAGTGATCTAAATGTATGATTGTGCTCACTAGCGCAGATGCTAGTACGCGGGGGGATAACTTCGTAGTCAGTGGGACCCTGTGGCCTCTAAGGGCCCAGAAAAAGAGGCTTAGTGGACTCGCAGGTCTCAGGCTTAGTGGAGGAATCAGTAATCAGATTGATCCCTATCTGTTTATCGTGTAAGGTTGTTTACGTTCGCGCGAGTCACCATGACATGCAGAAATGTTAGTATGCCGCTGTAGAACCTGGAGTTCGCACTGTGAAGGCCATGCGGCCGGAGCCGCCGACCGTGAGAAAGACGACGAGGACGACGAGGATGAGGAGGAGGGGGAGGGGGAGCAGGAGGAGGAGGGGGAGGACGCGGTGGAACAGTAGGAAGGGGAAAAAGAGGAGGAGGAGGAGGACGAGGAGGAGGAAAAGGAGGAGGAGGAGGAGGATGCGGAGGGGGAGCAGGGAGCATGGGCAAGGGGAGGACGGGCGGGAGGAAGGAGCAGTAGGAGGACGGGGGGAAGGGAATTGGAGGAGCAGGAGAACAAGGAGGACGCGGAGGACCGGGAGGAGAAGGGGCAGGAAGAGGAGCACGCAGGGGACGCAGTGGAACATGATGGGGAGGATGATCAGGAGGATAATGATGAGGAGGGGGGTGCGAAGGAGGGGGATGAGGAGGGAAAGGGTGAGGTGAAGGAGGAGGAGGAAGAGGAGGAGGAAGGAAAAGGAGAAGGAGGAGGAGGAGGAGGAGGAGGAGGAGGAGGAGGAAAAAACAGGAGGAACAGGAGGAGAGGAGGAGGAGGAGGAGGAGGAGGAGGAGGAGGAGGAAGAACGCGCCGTGGAGCAGGAGGGGAACGATGAGGAAGAGCATTCGGAGGAGGATTGGGAGGGGGCGTTGAGGCAGAAGGAGGTCGAGAAGGGCATTGAGCAGAGGGCGATGAACACGAGGCGGAGGAACAGGAAGAGGGCGAGGACCAGCACTTTTGGCCCGTCCTGGGTCTTTTCTGAGGCCAGGAGGGGGGCGTAACCGGGTAGCGACCTCTCCCGGGACCCCCCTCCAGGACCCCCTCGGAAGAGTCGTATCTCCCTCGCGGCCCCCCCAGGCCCCCCCCCCCCCCGCGGGACCTCCCCCCCTCGACGCCCCCCCCCCCGACGGGGGAGGGACCACAGGGAGGGGCCCCCCCCGATGGAGCCACGACGGAGGAGGGGACCAAAGAGAAGAGGCCCCCCCCGACCGAACCGCGACGTCACCCCATCGGACCCAGGAAGCGGGAGTGGAGCGCGACCGACCCAGGGACAGTGGGAGCCGCAGGGACGAAAGGAGCCGGCAGAGACGAAGATTCACGAATGACTTGGCATCGCTCGGACGTGTGCATGTTTACTTCGGCGAGGACCATCGAGGAGCATCCTTGATCATTTGGCGAAAAAACCACGCACGAAACCGAACAAAAACACAGGGAATGGACGTCCGAGCGATGGCCAGATGACGGAGAGGAGGACTGGAACGGACGAGCCCCTCACACACGCCGACAGTGTCGGCGTCTTCGTGCCGCTGTTGCCAACCTCGCGTGATTGGCTAGGAGTGGATCGTGAACTCCGTCGCGATTGGGGCGAAGCGTCCGCCTTTACACTGGGACATGTGTATGGGTGACAGACTGCAGGAGCCGAAAATGATCTTCGCCTGCTTCTACAATGGGTAAAACAGAAGATAAGCGATTGCACATTGATCTTAGTAGTCTGAGGCAAGACCTACTGACACGTGGATATGGAGAAAGTGATTCTACACCCCAGCAACGTTTGTGCGAATATCCGATGTCTTGGTACACGCATTATGACAGTATAGTGTTTCACAAAGGCATTGCCGACTGACGTCCGGGTGAACATGTTAAAAACCAGTTCGTATAATATAGCTGCATACCCAGAGTCTACAATGAAGAAGGTACGATAACAGGTGTCTCGCGCCAAGACAACTATCCTATCGGGGAAGTGAGTACTGAGATCGTTCTTGCCGGCGCCTTGCTCTAGCGGCCCAGCGATCCTGCAGAGGTTGCCCCTACGATGCGGTGCCAGCCTCACCGACTAGCTCGTGACACAATTTCACGGGTGTGAGCCAGTGTGCGTGTACGCGCTGTATCATAATCTCTTGTTGCTGCCGCTCTCTGCAGTTTGACTCGCAGGGGCTCCTTCTGCCTCAGAATCAGAATCGCATCTGTCGATCCTCGAGCTGGTGACATAAACTTCACGTCGGTGGCCCACTAGAGTCGAGGCTTCCTAGATGGGGTCCGAGTAGATGGGGTCGGAGGATCTTGCCGCATCGTCGATACATCGTCCATACATCGTCGATGCGTCGGCGTTGCGTCGGTGATGCACTGGCGACGTTGGCGGTACAATGGCGACGCCAGCGTGGGGAAAGCTGAGCTCCACATCGAGCCGCATCGCCAATGCATCGGCGATGCATCGGCGATGCGGCGCGATCCTCCGACCCTGTCTTTTCGGGCCCCATCTGGGAGGCCTGGACCCACCTTGGCGCGGCAGGAGCCTGGCGTTTCGTTGTCTCCCCGTCCGCCGCCCGCCGCGGCCCCTCCCAGGAGGCCCAGCAGCTCCAGGCGCGCCCGCGCGCGCTGGAGGGGACGGGGAGAATGACGCGGACGGCGGCGACGATAACGACGAAGTTTGGACGAAGAAAGATAGTTTGGAGCGGTTCGACGAGAAGGAAGGGGACATTCATTTGGACGAAGAGGACAGCAAATTAAGAGCACGACTGGGGAGGTGGAGGACGAGGACGTCGACGACGGGGGAGGCCCGACGAAGAATTGTTCCCTTGCCCCATCTGCCAGCCTGGGCCAGCCTGTCCGCCGCTCCTCCACCTCCTCCCTCATCGCCTCCTCACCTCCACTTTCCCTCGCCTCCGTTTTCCTCGCCTCCATAGTATTCTACCTCCTCCTTCTCACCTCAATCAGATTCCTCCTCCTCCTCCTCCCTCTCCCTCTCTCCCTCCCTCCCTCCCTGCCCTCCTCCTCCTCCTCCTCCTGCTCCTTCTCCTCCTCCTCCTCCTCGTGCTCCCCTCCTCCTCCTCTTCCTCCCCCTCGTCCTGCTCCTCCTCCTCCTCCTCCTCCTCTTCCTCCTCCTCCTCCTCATCCTCATCCCCCCCTTCCGTGGCCGTGTTGGCTCGGGGGCGCCGCGGCGCCCTCCGCTCCCGCGCGCGCGTTTTTTGCCTGGCGGGCTGCCGCGCGACCCGCTGCGACACGCCGCACGGTGCGCGGCGGCTCCGGCGGCCGAGGCGGGCTCCCCGTCGCCCACGGGCCCTCGGTGGCCCACGCGCGGGATGCCCAGCAGGCGGCGCACACGATTGAAGGGGCCCAAGGACACAAATAAATACACACAAATACCAGGATGCCCCGTATCTTCGCACATATTTTCTGGGTCTCTGTCTTCCCCCCCCCCCACTTCCCATATATTCTCCCTTATTTTCCTGGGAGTCGGCGATGACTTGTGTCTGTGTGTGTGTGTGTTTTCACCTCCTCCTCCTGCCTCTTTCTCCTCCTACTCCTCCTGCTGCCTCTTTCTCCTCCTCCTCCTCCTCCTCCTCCTCCTCCTCCTCCTCCTCCTCCTCCTCCTCCTCCTCCTCGTCCTCCCTCTTTTTGCCTCCCCTCCCCCCCCGCTCGCGAAAACGGGCGCCGTGAGCGATGGGCCGCCGAGGCCCCTGCCCTCGACTGTTGCTCGCGCTCGGCGGCGGCCTGCACGCCGGCAGCGCCGCTGGGGGCGGCGGGCCCCCTCTGGCGAGGCTCGGCGGGCGGGCCCTTGCGCGTGCTCGGGGGGGCCGCCGCCGGCTCGGGTCGCGCCTCCGACGGGCGGCGGCGCGCTCGCGGAGGGCCTCCGTCGAAGGTGCGCGGCGGCGGGCGGCGACTGCCTGCCAGGGGCGCCCTCGAGGGCGCGGAGCTCCTCGCGCGTCGCGCTGCGCGGTTCGGCTCCGAATCCTCCTCGTCCTCCTCTTCTCCCCTGGGAGGCGGCGCGAGAGCGCGCGGAGTCATATTCGCACTCCGCGCTTCGCGCAGCGCGGAGCGCGAAGTTGGGAGCCCGTGCCTGCTCACATTTCGCGCACATGGCGGGAGCTCGGCGCGGCGAGCGTCCTCATTCGCCACCCTGGTCTGGCCGAGGCGATCGTTACGGCAGCGGTGGCCTGGCTTGGTGCCTCCGCCCGTGCGGGCGTGGCCGTGCTGGCAGCGAGCGCAGGGCGGGTGGTACGATCCCTCCGCCCGCGCACTTCGACCTGGCCTCCCACGGAGGAGTTCCGGATCGGCTCGGACGGTGAGGCCGAGAAGGACGGCGGGGAGCTGCTCCCCGCGGTCCCCTCTTTCCCGCAGCTGGTCGACGGCGAAGTGCGCTCTTGCCCGCAGCTAGCCTGTGGCGAGTCCGAGGAGGAGCTGTCCAGAGAGGTGGAGGTGAAGGAGCATGGTGGCGCCACCATCTCGCACAGGCGCTGGGCGGAGGACCTGTGCGACGCCGCCCTGCTGGCCGTCGGCGTGGAGTGCGCCAACGGCGTGTCGGGCGTCCTTGACGCTGACGCCGACGGCCTGGGGCAGCAGGTCGTCGACGCCCGGACCCTCCGCAGCCTCCGCCTCGAGAGCGCGCACCATCAGGAGTTGGTTGGCCCCGAGGCCGCGCGCGCCTTCCGCGAGCTGGTCCATCAGCGTCCCGCCCTCGCCGAGGTCGCGCGCCTCGCGGGACGAGGCGGATGCTGCGGCCCGATCGCGGCTGGGCCTGGTGGATTCGTCTCGACATGCTGCGCGGCCCCTACGAGGTCCCCGGCGGTCACCTGGTTGACGGTTTCGCCGGCACCCAGGTGTTTTGCGTGCCTTGAATGTCGCTGTCCGGTTTTGCCCAGGTAGCTCGCAGAGACCCAAAGAGCTTCAGAGTAAGAAGCCAGGTTCGCAGGATGGCCCCAGAGATCGTTACGGCGTCGGCCCCCACCCCACCCCGCGTTGGTTTCGGGGGTGCGCCGTGTGGGAACGGGCTCGCACTTGGTGTGCGGGCCTGCGTCCTCGCTGGAGGTGGGGTGGCCGCTGGCGGCTGCTGGGGGCTGCCCGCTGCTGTCCCCTGCTCCTCCTCCTCCTCCTCCTCCTCCTCCTCCTCCATCGTCCTCCTCCTTCTCCTCCTCCTCCTTCGTCCTCCTCACCTCCGCTCTCACCTCCACCTTCCCCTCCTCACTTCCTCCTTCCCTTTCCTCCTCACCTCCTCGTCCTCCTCGCCGTCATCCTCCCCCCTTCCTCATCCCCTCTCCCCGCCACGGCTCCAGAGGGCTCCTAATAGGGGCCAGCTCCTCCCCGCAGCCTCCCCCCAAAACACATACACCTCGACCGCCGTGCACGGTCTCTCTGCCGCCCGCGCGCCGGCGAGCCCGACTCCTTCGGCCAGGGGCCCCGCCTCGTGTGAATCACTCGTGATGATGGTGATGATGATGATGGTGATGGTGATGGTGATGGGGATGGGGATGGGGATGGGGATGATGATGATGATGATGATGATGATGATGATGATGATGATGATGATGATGATGATGATGATGATGGTGATGGTGATGGTGATGGTGATGGTGATGGTGATGGTGATGATGATGGTGGTAATGGTGGTGATGCTGATGGTGATGATCATGATGGGGATGCTGCTGATGATGATGCTGTTGGTGACGACGATGCTGCTCATGGTGGTGCAGATGAGGCTGGTGGTGATGATGATGGTGGTGATTATGATGATCATGATGATAAGGACGATTCTGATGATGAAGGTGATGGCGATGCTGACGATGATGATTGTGATGACGATGGTGATGGTCATGGTCGTGGTCATGGTGGTGGTGATGATGATGTGGATGGTGATTGCGATGGTGATAGTCATGGTGACGATGGTGATGGTGATGACGATGACGACGAAAACGATGATGATGATGATGATGGTATTGATGGTGGTGCTGGTTATGATGATGATGATGATGATGATGATGATGATGATGATGATTTCGTACGATGATTCTGATGATGGCGGTCAGGGCCATGATGGTGGTGATGATGGTGGCGATTGTCATGGTCATAGTCATTGTCATGGCTCTGGTGATGGTGATGACGATGATTATGATGATGCTGATGATTGTGATGATGATGATGATGATGATGATGATGATGATGATGATGATGATGATGATGATGATGATGATGATGATGATGCTGATGATGATGATGATGATGATGATGATGAGGTTGGTGGTTGTGGTGATGATGGAGAATATTTCCATGACAATGCTGATGATGGTTATGGTGTTGGTGATGGTGATGATGATGGTCACGACGATGAAGATGATGTTTGTGATGAATTTGATGATGATGGTGATCATTGTGATGATGGTGAGGAATAGGAAGAGGAGTAGTAACATGTGCTTCCCCCGAATCAGCCAACGTATAAGATATGGACCGGTTTCACTTGAGCCAACTACCTCCCGAGATTGTCGGAGTTGTTTCTGCGACTTGGCAAGATGATGCGTTCCCTGATCAGTGTCAGGAGGCTGTCCTTTCCATCATGGCTGTCGCTGTTTCTTCTGCATCGCCCGCGTGCCGTCGTCGGTATGCTGTTGTTTTCCTCTGTCTTGTGTCGTGTACCCCCTCAGTAAAAAGTCATGCTCGTTGCCTTCTAAGCGAGGTGTTCTCTTCGTTGCTACCCAGCGGTCGCCACCACTCCTCGGGTCGGATGGGTGTTGCCAGAAGTGCCCCTGGCCCGAGGTGCCCCCAGCATTCTCGGGGGGGGCCCAGGCGGCCTCCAGAGCACCCCTCACGAGGCCCAGAGGGCCCCAGGGGCTCCACAGTGGAGCGAAAAGCTGGGGACACCTTGGGCCAGGGGCACTTCTGGCAACACCCGAAAAGGGGGGACGGGAACCCTGACCTTCCAGGAGGGCTACAAAATGGCACCCGACTTGAGAACCTATCTCCCAGAGCTGTTCTACGTCTTGGTTTTGGGCTGTTTCTTGTTTCGTGCTTTAGGTGTTTGGGCCTCCCGTGCTAAAAAATAGCTCCCTGGAAGGTCAGGGAAGGGGGGGGGGGGGCACGAGGTCTGCTTTCTCGTTCGTTGGGTTTGGGCTGTTACGTGTGGTCTTGGGCTGGGTTTGGGGCTGTTTCGTTTCGTTTTGTAGGTTTTTAGGCCTCCCGTGCCAAAAAGCAGCTCCCTGGAAGGTCAGGGGAGGGGGGGGGGCACGAGGTCTGCTGCCTCCTCGTGCCGCCGGCTGCGGCCCCGCCGCCGGGCGCCTCCCTCGCTTGTTGCGTGGGCGTGGTTCTGCCTTCGCCGGGGGAGGCGCCCGGGAGAGGCCCGCCGCGCGAGCGGAGCCGCCATAGAGCCCCCCGTTCGCCGGCCCTCCCTTCTTCACGGGCGAAGAACGGTATAACATAAACTGCTTCGCTGTCGGGGGCGCCTGTCCCAGGGCGGCTGGAGAGTTTGTGCCCTTGCGGTGGCACCGTAAGGGTATAGACTTTCCAGCCGCCCAGGGGCAGGTGTCCCCGACAGCGAACAAGTTTGTGTTATACCGTTCTTCGCCCATTAACTTTCGTCTGGCGTGTCTCTCGTGTACAGTGCCGTTTTTAATACATGCGCCACGTGCGGATCATGTGTTAAGAATGCAGGGATTTAGTATTAAAAACGACGACGAGCTCATGCATAAATTCATTCACATATTAGTAATGTGTTTTTAATCCCATATTTTAAAACATCCCATGTCTTCAAAACTGCCCTGTAGGGGGTGTGCCTCTTGACGAGCGAACAACTCACACCCATACCCATAGGAGGGTCGAAGGGAGGGGAACTGGCTGTGGGTATGGGTGCGAGCTGTCGGAGCCTGGGGGAAGCTCCCGTGCGAGCGGGGACCCCCATCCGACAACACGCACCCATAGCCTCCTCCGTCCCCCCTATGGGTATGGGTGCGTGTTGTTCGATCGTCATCTCTTGTGTCGGGGGGGGGACCGAACCCCCACCCTGACACGTCGATCAGTGAACTGTCCGCTCTCGGTCCTCGAGAGGGCGCCGCGGCATTTTGCTACAGGGGGTTCTGCCCGTCGCCGATGGTGTCTTCGTTCCTCAGGCGCTCTCTGTGCCCGCCCGCAGCCACGCGCAGAGGGGGGTGGGGGGAGGGGGGAGGGCTTCTTAGAAGCACCCCTGCTTCTTAGAGGGCGCGAGCCTTCTCTGCAGATGTAAGGCCGGCGCCTTCTGAGAAGCAGCCTCCTTCTAAGAAGCCCTCCCCCCTCCCCCCACCCCCTTGTGCGCGCCGCCAGCGCCCAGCGAGGCCATCCTCCGGTCCGTGCGGAAGGACTGGACCCCCAGGGACGTCGCCGCCGTGCAGCAGAAGCTGCTGAAGATCGACGTGGCCTCCCCGGAGGACCCCCGGGGGTTTGCCACAGGAGGCCAGAGCGGGAAGTGGAGGGTTTCTTCGAAGAGCTTTGGCGACCCGTCCTTCTTCTTTTGGTTTTTCTTTTCATCCTCGTCCTCCTCCTCGTCCTCCTCCTCGTCCTCCTCCTCGTCCTCCCTCCTCCTTCTCCCACTCCTCTCTCCCCCTCCCCCTCCTCCTCCTCCTCCTCCTCCTCCTCCTCCTCCTCCTCCTCCTCCTCCTCCTCCTCCTCCTCCTCCTCCTCCTCGGGTCGCCTACGGCCCGGGGGGAAACCGTGCAGCGCGAAGTCGGAACCCATGTCGTGCGCAAGTGCTCTTTTTCGCCATGGCGTCCGTTGCCGGCCCCGGCCGCCCGCCCCTGCCCAAGGTAGCGTCACGCTTCGTGCTGCCCTCCGAGTTGTCGTTTGGTTATTCCTACACGTTCCCAGACGGCGCTGGCGCGCGAAGCGTGACGTTACCCCCCACACACACACACCCTTGCCCCCACCCGCTCCCGCCCCTTATCGCCCAGGAATCGAAGCACGCTCTAATGGGGGTGGTAAGGCTTCGGCATGCTCATAGACAGCCCCCCATGTAGTCCCGGCTGGCCTCAAGAGGCCCCCCGAGTAATTCCAGCTGTCCTCAACAGGCCCCCATTTGCCACATGTAGTCTGGGGCGGTCTCAACACCCCAACCATAGGGCAGGGTGTTGAGACCGCCATGGACTACTCGGGGCCCCTGTTGAGACCTATAAGGCTTCGGGATGCGCACAGACAGCCCCCACAGGTAGTCCTGGCTGGCCTAAACAGGCCTGCGAGTAGTCCCAGCTGGCCTCAACAGGCCCCCCGAGTAGTCCATGGCCGTCTCAACACCCTGTCCCAGGGTTGGGGTGTTGAGACCGCCCCAGA